AAGTTCAGCCGTACCAAGATTCAAGCAAATTGTGTGTGTGGTGGTGTCAACTTCCAAATGGTGAGCATTCCCTAAGAATCACCAGCTTCGCACACCATTTAATTAATGAGCGGGAGTCGCAAAAGTACAAACTCCCCAGTGACAAAGGACACCTGTTCATCGATTTTGAGGTCAAGTCCAGACGCATCCCCCTTGAATTTCCGCCGTCAGGTACACTTCCCGACGCATTCTCGCTGCGCCTACAGAGAAGGCTGGTGCGGAGCCGGGGGTCCTGTCAAAGGCTCCAACTGACTTGCGGCATGCGACTTCGGGAAGCTTAGCCAACATGCGGTTTCTTGGTCACAGTCTGCCCTTGCCTGCTGTGTCTGCCCAAGCAAGTCGCGAGTCGCATCCTGTTGGTTGAAGGGAGGTCAACACTTTTTGGAGGTAAACATGCAGCCGTGGCAAAGTGCAGTATATGCTTGAGGTCAATATGCGTGCTGTTCCTCTGTATCGATTTGCAGCTTGCAAACGTTGCAAATGCTGTGTGTCTTCCCAACGTCCTACAGTCTTCGGCTTCCGGGAAAGTATTACCGTTACCCTAGTCTTTCCCTAGATTTCCAATAGCCTTCCCATAGCCTTGCCCGAGTCAGTCTTCCCGTAGTCTTCCTGTAATCCGTTTTTTGGCAGCAGGCAGTGAACCAAAGGCTTGTTGGCAAGCTTCCTATAATCGCGTCGACATAGTTGTCGGTTGGTCATTGTGATTGTTGTTTCCAACTATGTATTTTCAGCAATTATGTCCCTGATCGCAGGCTTCCCTGGGTTTACCCTTGTACTTTTACCTTCATCGGTTGGTAGTGTTTGTTCAAAGTGCTAGAACTGCGGGAACATGCCTTTATGTAAGAATGCAGTGTTTTCAGCTTCCTCTCATAATACCCAAACATCCCCACACGCAAAGAGGACACATGTCGCAGCGCAAAGCCACTTTCTAGCCATGCCATTTAGCATCCATATTTTTGCCGTGCGCACAATCCACTTGGGCTTCAGCGGAACCATCGCAACACTAATCCTGCACAGAGTTCTAGCAGGTCAAATTTCGGCCATCCGCCACCCATTCCAAATAACTACTCGCATGTTGACACACAATTGTCATCTGGTTGGTTCTTCTTTGTGACTTGCAAGTTCAAAGGATAAGGAGTCCCTGACAAGATTGTGAATAGCCTTAAGTTAACCAACCACCATTCCGTGGCTGTTTGTCAAGTGGGGACCCCCTCCCCAGCTTTTTGAACATAGTCCAACAAAGTGACAAAGTGGAGTTTATTCCCAGACCCGCATCTGACCAATACACAGAATCAACAGTGAAACTGAGTGACACATAGGTTTGAAAGAGCTGAAGAACCATCCATTCCCTTGCCTGGGTTGCTGAAAATGGGGGGGGAACCTGAATCCTAATCCGTGGTGACACACCAACGCAGGAAGGGAAACCACCACCATCTGACCAACCACCGCCACCACTGTGGCCTTGAGGCAGAATCAATATTAAGTTGGATTGGCTAGCACGATGTACCAAATATGTGCCACCCTGCTCACAAAGGCCCCATAGGCCTTTGACGCCTCGAACAGGAATCTTCGAGCCTATGACTGGGCATGAGCACCGGGAAGGAAGAAATATCACAGAGGCTTCACGCCCCCAAGCAAGGCTTGAGCGAAGGGCACCAAGGCTTTAGTTTTATTGGCACTGAAATTGGTTTTGGAATTCCGAAGTGAAGGAGGAAGGAAGGCCACCAGGACGTCTGTGGGCCCGCTAAATTATTAACGGGCGTCCCCCGAAACCTGGTATGCTCAAAGAAATTTTCCTTCACAATAACACCCTGCACGCCATCTGGTGATGTTCAACCGCAACTCTCTCCATCTCTCTCTCTCTCTCTCTCTCTCTCGCTCGGTCTCTCTCTGTGTCTCTCTCTCTCTGTCTCACTCTCTCTCTCTCTCTCTCTCTCTCTCTCTGTCTCTCTCTCTCTCTGGGCATGTCTGTCTTTTTGCATGCCTCTCTCCCCCGCTCTCTATTCATCAATCGCCGCGGCTTTCCCAACACACGTAGAAGCTCGGTTCGAAGATCTTGGGGCCGCTTATGATTCGCTGCCCTGAAGGATCCCACTAATAAAACCTTAGGTTCAACCTGCCTTTTGGCTTGGGGCAGAGCAAACAGTTAAGTTAAGGGCAAACCAAGGCCACAAACGGCGGTTTCTTCCGGCGGTTTCTTAGGACCGAGTCCTGCCATCTGCGCCCAGCAATGCAGGGCCAGCAGAGCCTCGCAGGACAAAGATTTTCCACAACCCTCCAGTTGAGTCATAACCAAAACCTGGTATTCAAATGGCATACCCAAAACCATGTGAAGAATTCAACAGGCGGCTGCACCCATTTATGGTTGGGACTAGCCCTTACTAACCTTCATTCACCGAAGTTTGATTGTGGCTCATTTGGCCAGCACAACTCCAACGCAGAATTCCCAACCAACATGATTGGTTCTCAACATGATTGGTTCCTTCAAATCATTTCATTTGTTTCTACTATGATTCCCAAACAAGACTTGCATCACAACGGCAGAATTACGATGCAACAGAAACGCTTTGACATCTACCAATCTGAAATAAGGGGTTCAAGCAAAGTGCGTCCATGCTAAGCTCGCTTTGCCTGGGAGGCTCGCCATAAAACAAGCCCTCTAAGAGGTTCATGCCAAGGGCTACATGGGTTCGTACATGCAGCCTTGAGGGGTTGTTGGTTTGGGAGGGGAAATCCCCAAAGCACTGGTGAACTTGGTTCAATCAATTCCTCCCTTGGCGGAAGTGGCGGAAGGGTGATTTTGCTTCCTATAATAGGGGAGTAACCAATTGACGCGCCTGAGAGTAGTGGCTTTCAGGCCAAAAAAAGGAAAAAGCCACCGAAACTCGTTCGTGGTTGCTTTCTGAACAGTCCATTCCTTTTGACCCCTTGAAGGTCACAACAATCCCTTTATCGCTAAGCTCAAGCCACGGCGGTCAGTGCACCTCTACCATTCCCCCCAACTCTGCCGCCAGTGGTTAATCTTTTCCCCGTGCTTCGCTGCGATGGAAATTCACCCCTTGGGCCTCACTCTCCGGGAAAAACAGAGCGCGAGAAGCGCTCCGAAAACTCTTGGCTGTTGGTGCGACGTAGAAATCAGTGGTGCCTCCTGAAATGGTGGATCCATGGCTATTTCAAGGGAAGGCAAAAACCCAGCCCACGCTTTTGTTGTGGTCTTTGTGTTGTTGCAATTTGTGTTGGGGCAATTGAAGGAAATCGCATAGCATCGCATACCAACACACACCTGCGGTTGGCGCGGTGATTTGAAATAGGCAGGATGGAGCCAAAAGAGCAAGCACGCACCGCCACTAGATAAGTATAGGTTGATGTGACCGGTCTTGAATCAGGAAAGCTGAGCTCGTCAGCTCTTGAACGGGCATGGGTGTTTGAACTTCTCACCTTGCTTTTGGTCCATGAAAGGACATAGGGATAGACAAAAAATAGAGCGACTGCGGATGAATTTCTCGTCAGTTCAATCCTTTATATTAATCTTGACCCCATATAGATCAACCCCAGTTTGCTAATAGGGCGGTATCCCTGTGTTTGATGGGGAATCATCACTTTTGGAGGAGAACCCCCCTATCAATCAACTGGGGTTGATTAAGAGGGGGTCAACATTACCAGGCATCCCTCAGGCCACGATTGTGCTTTTGGCTCGAACCTGCAGAGAGTTGTATCGGCTCACATTGCTGGGATAGCTGGCTGCAACCGGACGTGCAAGACATAGCGATCTGTCCAAACGTGTAACAGAGGTGCACTAGGGCAATAATTCTGACCTACAGAGCACGAATATCCTGATGTCCACCCATGTTCATAGTCTGAGGTGCACGCCATTTGCAAGTTAACAAGCGTTGTCCGACACAAGTGAGAGCCAGAAGAGATGTCATATATTTGTGGAAGTTTCTTCCACTGCGCGAGACCTCCGAGGCTATCCTGGGGATGGCATTGATGGCACGCACCTAGCCGGAAAAAAATGTCACACAGATTGCCTCTGCGCTGCTCTAAATAGCTTTGTGGTGTCAATGACACATGCATTCTGGCTCTTAGTGTCCTACATGTTGCATCAATCAAAGTACGGCAAAGCACAATCAAAGTAAGTCAAAGCACTCATGATATAGTTGTTTCACGAAATCCCACTTCAGCTACTTGCTGAGTGGCTTCCTCACCTCCACGAAGGCTCTTTCGAGGGTTCCAAATCGCGCATTTGCAAAATGTGCCACGGTGACTGCGAAAATTGTGGGTCATGGTCGTGGCTCCTTCGCATCCGAAGCGTCCAAACCGAACCCAAACAAACCCAATACATGAGCTCCACTGTTCAGTGGTACTCTGTCAGAACTTCAGCACTTGAAGCCTCATTGCAGTTGTATAGGATGGTTTAAGCCATGGTTGCAAAGCATTGCCCACCCACAGTGAACCGATTGGCGTGTGTGTGAAAAACATACCAGCACCATGGCCATAGCGTCGGACACTGGGTGCATCCGAAGAGTCTGGGTGAATGACACTGCAGATGGACGAAACCCATTTCGAACCACCTAGGAAACTAAGAAACCCTGGAAGGCTGATTCCCCTGTAAATATAAATGCCAACAAACACTGGTTTCCCGTGGCTTCAGAGTGGTGCCAAATGGATGTCGTAAGCATCCACAGTAGCAGCCTAAACTGAAGGACCTTATACAAGGCGGACCTTCACAAGGCCGTTTTATTCAAGGACCCCCTTTTGGGGGCTCAAAGAAAACTGCTGCCATTTGCGAGTTTGGTCAATTGCTCACCGGGCCGGCGAGGGATTTGTTTGTGACCTTGCGCAAATCGTTCAAACTGCAGCAGGCGAAAACACGTTGTCTTGCCTGCAGTAATAAAGGATATAGCGTCACAAGTCCTTGCCAGTGCAAGGAAGAAACGAAGATTATGCTCGTATTCATGCTTGTTTCTTCCTGACACCACAAACGGACAGGGAGTGACAATCTCACATGCCAGATAACTGAACTTGCGTCCTAGATTCCGAAAGATGAGCCAAGCGCCTCGGTCCTTGTTCAAGACCGCCGGCTTGCTGGGTTGTCTGGAAACCTGGCCGGCAGGCCTAGAATCCGGCAAGATTCAAGCGCACCCCACCGGCACGAGCACATCGCAAGCGCCCGACAAGGATTCAGCCGATGGGAAGCACATGACGCATGGATGAGCCGACGTCGGAATTCCATCTTGGGCAACACTGCCAAGATTGAGCCCTCTCTGAAGGAAGATCTGCGCACTGCTGATTGCCCAAATCAGACCAGGTCTGACTCACATCAGACAAGTAGTCCCTGGCATATGCTGCGGCCATCCTTCTGGTTTCAACCGTTTTTCCGATGCACTCGCAGAACAAGTTCACCTCCAGCGCAATTAGACGTGAGATGTCCTCACAGGGAACTGCCGAAATCGACGTGCTTGGCACTTTGTCCTTTTGGGAAAGGAGGCCCCGCCAAAAAGTACGTTTGTGTACACGACGTGTCTATGAATTCCTTGAGGGGTGGAGGCGATCAAAACCCAGCCACCGCCCACTGCATGCATTGTGGTCAGTCATGTTCCCTGTGGTTCTGCAGCGATTGGTTGGTCTCTCTGGAAGCTTGAGAGAACTTGCAAGGTGTCTGAGTTGCTCGGCAAGGTTTGCTGCGTCGATCGCGAATGAAGGCCTTATGCGTGGATCCCTTGAGACACCGATAAAAACGATCAGCACTCTTGCAACACTGCTCCTGGTCAACCACAATCTGGGCTGTCCTCAGATCCCCTGCTAAAAGTTTAATGTTTAACGGCTTAAATTGAACCCCCCACTAAAACCAGCTAAAGGCTGAAAAGCTAAGGAACCGAATGGCTGGGAATCGCAATATTCAATGTAAGCGCGAAGCCTTGAGCCTCGTTTTCAGGAAAGCTGGCTGCCAACAGGGCGCATTCCCGAAAGCTCACCTATGGCCTCGCGACGCGAAAGTTGTTGCACCCTGCAGCTTTGTGGCAACGAGCGCTGAGCTCATCGGGGGAAAAACAAAAAAAACACTCCCTAGAAGCCTCCCTTCATGGTGTATCTTCACACCCAAACACCTGCACACACTCTTCTGCAAACTTGTCCTGGAAACCAAGAAGCCATCTTGAGAGGAGGATTTACTGGCCCTAGAATATTCGGCTCACTCCGTCCTGCGAAACCAGATCCCCCAAGTGAAGCCAGGGGCTCCAGAGACACACCTCCGCCACCCAGAGTCGGTACAGCTTGCGGTCGGAAGGGTCCTCCATCCTCAGCTGCAAACCAAAAACGGGTGGCAGTATATACCTCTTTGGAATCTTCCTTTAAGCCACCCAAACAGTGTACCCTCAAAGACACACACGGCTCTTGGGCCGCTGTTTTCCGTTTTTCGTGGGACTGTAGACCCAATTGGAACCTCAGGGCAAAGCCATGCAAAGGCGCTTCATATGACTGACACCTATTTGCAGGTGTCTCGGGCCCAACACTAGGACCAGTCTAGGAAAACGTGTGCTGCGATGCATTGAGAACGCGCAAAGCCAGAGACCCTGAATCAAAGGAAATCCAGACTTGCCATTCCGGAGGGTTGCTTGGACACCTCGTTGCCTTCGACACTTTCTATTGTTTGCCCAATGCGCGCACGTCCACTAGGCGTTCAGGGTTTGAGCGTCTGGAACTATCCTGGCCTTCCTTTGGGCCATTTTTGGCCATGGCACCAAAGAGTCAGCCTTTGTGTAAACTTTGGGCAAGTGAGCTTGGGCCATGCGATTTGAAGGATTTCAATGTGGTTGAAGCCGATGGGAGTTCTGTTACAGGGATTATACTGGTGTGGCTTGAAGGTTGAACCCCAAAACTGGCTTGTCTTTCCTCGTGTCCCTTTTAAAACCACAAAACAAAGGACCCTCAAACTCACACACATAGCCATCTATCATTTGTCGCGATGACATGGCTCCAATCAAGCCGGGTTTCACAAGCACACGAGAGTCCTTTGATATCACGGGCATTGAAAGCCCAAACGATGTTGTTCATACGCAGGTCATCACTCAGGCATTTACGAGCCCCAGACTCCAAGAACCTATGGGTGTAGGTCTTCCGTTGACCGCGATCCCATTGGACCTGGCTTTATTGACCTTTGGCACAAACACCAAAAGACAAAACTGCTCCATACCAGATTGGACCCAGCTCAGCACAAACCTTTTGCATGGTCTGAATCATTGACTCCTTTGCTTCCCTTGAAAAGCCATCCTCGAACGATATTTGAACCCCTCGCTCTTGGCCACTTCCCATGCTTGCCACAAAGGAAGACCCTACCAAGCTGGTTAGAGGGGGCTTGGATCCCACGAGTTCCTCTCGAGGAATCACCGAGGAGGCCCAGTCCTGTGAGGGCTCCGCGCCCTTTGTGGACTGTGAGGTGACGGTGCCGGGAAGCTGGGGGGTGGGAAGGGGGTGAATATTCCAGACGTGACTTGGCTGGTTGAAGGCGTGGTTTATTGGCTTGAAACCACGAACTGGTTAAAGGGTGTATTTGTCGTCTTCAACGCAAAGCTACCAGAACCATTCGGGGATTCCTTGTTTTTTAGGATCGACCTGTTAGCTTGAACCTTTTAACGTTGTAAATGAATCTTGGCCCAGGTGTCCGCCGTGGAGTGGTGAGAAATGCAAAACAAACACACAAACACAAACACACACACACAAACACAAACACAGACACACAGACACACAGGCACACAGACACAAACATAGACACACAGACACAGACACACATGTGTGCAGACACAAACGCAAACATACACACACACATAGACACAGATACCCAGACTCACAGACTCACAGACACACAGACACACAGACACACAGACACACACAAACACAAACATAGACACACAGACACAGATACACAGACACACAGACACACAGACAAACACAAACAAGGACACACAAACACAGACACACAGACACACAGACACACAGATACACACATACACACAAACACAAACATAGACACACAGACACGGATACACAGACACACAGACACGCAGACACGCAGACACACACACACACAAACACAAACATAGACACACAGACACAGATACACCGACACGCAGACACGCAGACACACAGACACACAGACACACAGACACACAGACACACACAGACACAGGCACACAGACACAAAGACACACAGACACACAGACACAGACACTGACACACACACACACGTTGTGGAACGACAGCTGAATCTCAGCTGAAGCAAGCATGGGCATAAAAGCGACATGGTCAAGGTTCGTGTAGGTGTACGCTCCCCCGGAGAGGAAATAGGTGGCGTTCGCGATGGTCCCTGCAGCAAAGACCACGTCGCCAATGGCGAGCACTGAGTGCGACATGCATCCCGCCACCTGCCGGTGAGGCCGTTTTCTTGTTGCATGATTAGACCGGACCTGGTGACCTGGAGTCTCCAAACAAATTGAAAATTCGACATCTTGGCTGGACCAATGCCTCATGGAGAACGCGGACGATGTGGTAACTGTCCTTCTCCATAAGCTTCTGAAAGAAGTCGCATTTTTTCATGCTGTCCTGGCAACAAATTGGGGGCCCAAGTCGGGTTGCTCCCAGGCCATGCCCAATCTAGTTTTTTATGTTTATATATATATATATATATATGTATATATATGTGGCAGTTGATCAACATTCCTGTTTCCGGAAAACGCCATCTTCGCGAGAAAAAAGTTTCTTTCGCGAATCTTTCGCGACTCCATCGCCACACCCTTTTGTTTGCAGCGTGCGCTTTGGAGCCATTGTGGCTGCTGCAATTATGCTTGCAAACAAGGTAGCCGCAGTTCACTTGCGTGCAGTACGTAGTGTTAAGTGCAAGCAGTCACCGTCATTCGTCCTTGCCACTTGCGCTTGCCGGCGATGTGCGGAACCTTGCAACAAGCTCCCTGGCCTTTCGCCGGTCTTTCGCGGATCTTTCGCGAAACTTGCCCCAAAAAATTGCCCAGCCAACGTTATTGATTTGCACCATTCCCAACACAGGCAGGGAATCAACAATGCAAGTGTAGGTGCTGCGTACTTCCCGATCTACAAGGGAGCGGGGTCTGCAATATGTAAGTGCACAGGCATGCCTCCAAGAATCCAACGCGGAATCTTTCGCGAAAAAATAAGTTTCTTTCGCGAACTCCATCGCCGATCTTTCGCGGAGGGATTTAAGCCAAGACGAATGGTCACCGAATACATAACTCCTTGCAAGGACCTTTTGATCAACCCCCATGTCTCATATATGTGTGTTCATGGTGAGTAGCACTTAGTTCGCGTTCTCAATGATGTTGCTGGTTGCTTCTCTTGCCCAAATACGAACATGAAAATTTGCATGCCGGTTTCCTTCCAAAAGGAAAATGACCCTTAGTTGGATGGTTGCCCCGGCAACTGGAGCATCTGGAATGTTGAAAGGGCAGATCCAGGGATTTTCAAGCGAAGCATGCAAGCTGGACTTTATATTGACTTCCCTCCCTGAGATTGCAACTGAAACCTAGTTGCTAGTTGTCGGGACTTTGGCGACCAACTGGCAGTGTTAAAGGGCAATGACTGCAATTTCCAGTTTGAAGGAAGCAGCCAAGGGGAGGTGGGGTGAATTTGCGCATCATGTGAGTCTGCCGGTCTCTCTGAAACTGTAGCCCAGAAGGAAGCCAACCACCTAAAGGCCTTGAACTTTGAGACAGTCTGGAAGTTAATTAACCACTTCCCAACTGTCGAAAGCGGTCGTAAGAGGTTCGGCCAGAACAGGGATAAAACATATGTTGGGCTAGGGGACCCTCTTCCTTGCATCACCCCGCAAAGTGAACAGAATCAAAGAACCAAACATGTCAGCCACCATGTCAGCCAACAACAAGCATGGATCAAAGGAAAAACTTACCGCCTTTAAGTTAAATACTTGGGAGACACACCTGCAAGTTTCTGTGCTACCTTCCAGCGCGTTCAAAAATGGGTCTATATCATTGTTGACATCCCTGACCAACAACTCTGAAGATTTGAGGTTACTGGTCAGGGTCGGGCCAACTCCTTGTTTAAGCATATTTAAACACCTATTTCTTGAACAAACTCCTGGTTCCCATGAAGCTGCTTTTCGGCTTCCCCTTTGAAGTGGGCCAGGGTCTTGCCTAAAGTCTTCTCAACCGATTTCAGATTCCCCAACCAACCCTGACTCACAAGCTTAGGCACCCCAAGATTTTGAAGGGAACAAACCCTCCCAAAAACCAGCATGGAAAATGCGCAGTGGTCCCCTCAAAAGGAACATTGCTTTCCAGGAACCCCTGCGCGGGTTTTAAGTTTGTTGGGAGGGTAATTGAACCAGCATGACATGTGTTCACAGTCAACTGCCGTCAACCCTCCTGGTGTCGTTGGAACTCCAACTCACTCTGCAGGGGAACCGAGAGCATATCCCACATGGGAACTGGGCCCTCTGTGGACTCCGCCTTGTTCCTCGCCTCAGCAAAGCGCGACCGGTTTAATTCTCTCTAAACATGGGCCCGCCAACTAATCCAAGGGTTACACTCTGAGTGTTTGTTTCCATTTGTTTCTCGCTTTGGAGTTTCCTGCATGGGTGGTGATTTAACGAAACAAAATGGAACGAGTTTTGCTTGTCTGAGGATGTGCCCCGAGGATATCCGTGCCTGTTAAATTGAGGGAAGTCACACTTGCAATCCTGCAAGAGAGAAAGTGCATGGAGCTACGAGACTTTTCGGTCTGAAACCCAACTAGCTGCAAGCAAATTGTCTGATGGTTTTCAAGGGAATCAAACGTATGTCTAACCGAAGCAAGGGCAGCATCACGGGGAAGATGAGGGACTGCTAGTGAGTGGGCGAAATCCGTGGTGCATTTCACCCAGGGAGCTCCCATTTTCCGACAACTTAAGAAATGAATCATGTTTAGTCGGGCTGTCCGTGACTGATTCAGCGTGTTCCAGGCAAAACACTCTCTCATACCCTTGGGACAAAAGAGTTTCCACAGCCACCGGCCCGACCCTCAGCAAATGAAAATACGGGCGCGCAGCTGCTCATAGTGGAAATATAGTCGTTATGCCTATAAACAGGGAAATATAGACTATAGACATACATAGTGTGTTCTTGGTCTTGTAACATACAGCTGGCGAAGCCCCTGCTCGGAAGTGTCTAAAACATACACAATATGTATACGTATAGTTATGTGTTTCTTTCTTGTCTTTCGTTCTATTCTCTTTCTTTCCTTATTTCCATTACTGATTTTCTTTCCGGGTCTTTTCTTGTCTTTTAGCTTACTGATTGATGTCCTCTTTTTGTGTGTCTGTCTTGATTTATTTCTGTCTTTATTTATTTCTTTCTTTCTGTATTTCTTTCTTTCCTTATTTCTTTCTTTAATTCTTTCTTTCTTTCTTTCTTTCCTTCTTTCTTTCTTTATTTCTTTCTGTCTTTCTGTCTTTCTTTCTTTCTTTCTTTCTTTCTTTCTTTCTTTCTTTCTTTCTTTCTTTCTTTTCTTTCTCTCTTTATTTCGTTCTTTCTTTCTTTCTTTCTTTCTTTCTTTTCTTTCTTTCTTTCTTTTCTCTCTTTCTTTCTTTCTTTCTTTCTTTCTTTCCTTCTTTCTTTCTTTCTTTCTTTCTTTCTCTCTTTATTTCTTTCTTTCTTCCTTCCTTCCTTTCTTCCTTCCTTCCTTCCTTCCTTCCTTCCTTCCTTTCTTTCTTTCTTTCTTTCTTTCTTTCTTTCTTTCTTTCTTTCTTTCTTTCTCTCTTTCTTTCTTTCTTTCTTTCTTTCTTTCTTTCTCCTTTTTTCTATATTTGCTTTCTTTCTGGCCTTCTGGTTGTTTCTTCTTTCTTTCATTTTTCTTCTCTCTTTCTTTCTATTTGCCTCAACCGACCTATTCGTGCACTCGGTCTACCTCGTCTAGCTACCCATCCAGCAAATTGATCTCCCTCTGCTCTATCTATCTCTCTCTCTCCCGAACTGTATCTCTCTTCTGTTTGTCTACCTGTCTATCTACTTACCGAGTGAGTGTGTGAGTGAGTGCGTGAGTGAGTGAGAGTGCGCGAGTCATCACGCTTCAAACTTCGAGCTAAAAGCTCGGGGGCTTTCTTTTTCTCTATCTTGTTTTTCTTATTTATTTATTTCTTTCTGGCTTTCTGGTTGTTTCTTCTTTCTTTTTTCGTCTCTCTTTCTTTCTATTTGCCTCAACCGACCTATTCGTGCACTCGGTTTACCTCGTCTAGCTACCCATCCAGCAAATCGATCTCCCTCTGCTCTCTCTATCCCTCTCTCTCCCTCACTCTATCTCTCTTCTGTTTGTCCACCTGTCTATCTACTTACCGACTGAGTGTGTGAGTGAGCGCGTGAGTGAGTGAGAGTTCATGACGCTTCAAACTTCGAGCTAAAAGCTCGGGGGCAGTTTTGTTGGGGCTAGGGGGGGGCAACATAGTCCAACTTGTCTGATGTTTGCCAAAGGAAGTCTAAAGGAACTTTGTCGTACGGACACTAAGTGAAAGGCAGTCTTGCGCACAAGTAAGATGAATCAAGAGTGAATGCGTGCGAAACATGCGTGGAGGGGGACTGCCACGAAATCTGCACCCGAGCTCCAAACTACGGCGCCTGCGATGATTTCTGCGCAAAAAGCTCTAAAGTGATGCGCTTGACGGAAAATTTGACCAGCGCACTAAATGCTGCCGCACCTGTCACGAAATCCAAGTTGACTTTGGCACGTTTACGAGACGCTTCCAGAATTTGCACGGGCCTGTGGCACCAGCATGATTAGACCGACAACTTTCAAGCTCACCAAAACGAGCCGATTGCACGACAGGGCCAACGAAAATGACACCCGCGCAGACGTTTGCGCGCGCCCAAGACACCTCAACACACGCTTCCACGACAAATCATAACGGCACACGCGTATCGCCTCACCGCGAACGGTTGCGGACCGCTGCGGACGCTGGAGCACCTTCTCGGGAACATGGCCTCCACCCCCACGCTACGCATTCGGGGAAAAAACACGCACGCGCAAAGTGCACTTCAAAAGAAAGCTGGAGAGGGGAACCTCCAAACGAAGACAGACCATCCCACGCACTCCCAGAAGAATGTGTCTAAATGGAGAACCCTTCCTGCCCACAACAATCATAGATAAACAGAAAAAACAAATAGTACAAAAGGATAGCTTCCCTTTTGGTATCCTCTGTTCGCCAACCCTTTTTGGGTCCGCATCGTCGGGTCCTCTATGAGGCATACCCGACTCCTAGCAAAAACCGATTCATGGAACGAGACCGGCCTTGAAGGCATACTGCAAGAAGCAGGTGATGCGCTGGGACAGGTCATCATCGATGTGGTTCTGGTCCAGAAAGCGTTTCAGCGACCTGCCAGAAAACATCCACATGAACTTCGGATGAATCCAATTGGCCGTGCAAAAAAAGTGGGTCGTCCCTTTTGCTACAGAGTTGATCTATCTTTGGGCAGACATTTAACTAGCAGGGTCCTTTTGGTACAAATCCAAAGTTTACATCAGCATGGCCTGTGCATGCATGTGCATGCGTACAAGAATGATTGCAACCAACAGTGCACATCGCACTGCACATGTGTCCAAACGATGGCTTCATGTACAAGCATTTACGCGTCGGTCTCGGGTACTTTACTCAAGCAGCAGGCCTGCGTCTGCACAATCGAGAAAGGCGCTCCTGTGTAAGTATACTATCATGCTCTGTCCACAAGGAAGCAGTGCACAAGGGAGCAACACACGCCTGTTGTACTACAATTCGTTTGCGAGGAAGAAACTCAAAGAACTTGCACAAAGAAACTAGCTTGGAAAGCATGCTCGGGCAACATGTGCAAATAACGTTCACATAGAAATCTCAAAAAAACTTGCTCAGATAAAATTGCTTCAAAACTAAAATGTGTAGCCTTTCAAGCCGGAGCGGGAATGTAGGCACTGGTCGTGATGGTGACCCTCTGCACGCCGATCGGGCGGGTCGAGCTGCAAAAAAAACGGGTCTTTTTCAACTTTCCGCGGTGCGGGCGAAAACCTTGGCCTGAATTGGCTGGGCGGCCTTCAAAACACCCGAGGAAATGGACTTGATTCAGGCCTCGGCCAACTCTGCGTGGGTCGGGCTGCAAAAGAAGCAAATTTGCGTGTTTATTTCACACAACTTGCTCAAAGAGACTTGCTCAAAGCAACTAGCTCAAACAACTTACACAGAGTGACTTGCCTGGAGACACATGCCACACAAATGCGTGAGGCGCGTCCCTCGTCTTTGCAGATCTGGGCGGTTCGCGCTGTTATAGCTTGTGCAAAACACAAACGCGCTGCCGTTCAATTTACTGCGCCGGGGTACCCTTGCTTATGCTTTCAGGCTACCTATCCTTTGCTCTTTCAGTTTTATTGTAGGGTCTTGTCTACATCCGCGATGCTTTCGGGCTACCCGTCTGCTGTTGTTTGTTGTATTTTGTTTTTGGGAGGTGGGCCGGGGCGGGGGGGGGGGGCACGGCGGCGGAGAAGGGGCGCTTGATTGAACAACGACCGAAAAGGAAAGGTGGTGCAAGAATCACAATGTTTTTCAACATGCATGACCACCCGACTCAAAGGAATGAACATCGTTGTTTCCGTCAGAAACGAAAAGAGAAAAACCATACCTCTGATTCGTCCAAAGGCTTTGTACAATCCGAAGGGAACCCACTACGTTTCCTCCCAGTAATGTGGTAAAGGGCGCCTAAACGATGAATGCCCAAGGGAGTCATAGCAGATCCTGATTCCTGAGTGGAACGGCCAAGAAAAGTCCTTTACCACTGTCTTCTCAAAAAGTTCAAAGTCCAGGAACTCAGGGAGTGAGGATCCCATCTCCGCCTGAATTGCTCGATCTCCCCATCTTTCAGCTTCTGCAGCCCTGCCATAAGGCTTGCCACAGCGCTGAGCAGAGTCGAGAACATCATCAGCGCAGAGAATTCGACGATGATGGAAAAAATGCCTCGGGTGGCTGAGTCCGACCTCAACATGGGCTTTCAAACCGGCTTTGACGCATCAAGATGCGTGCCTTCAGAAGCAGTGTTACGATATATTGGCTAGGGTTGGCAAAGCAACTCATCAACATGCTGTCCGATTGTGAGATCCATTTGAGCGCTCCTTGTCGAACTTGTCTATAGGACGGCGGTGTGTAGGGCTGAACTTGTGTGACATGGATCAAAAGAAAAGACTTGAAGGGAAGCAAGGTCGGCATTGTGACCGAATCGCGCAAAGCTTTACAAGCCATGGTTTGACCCCGAAGGGGAACTTGGTGTCATTTCCGAGAAACTGAGATAGGGAACCCCAGGGCAGCAAACCACCGACGTGCATCAAGGCTCCCCCAGTCGAAGCGTTTTGGCCGATTCTGGAAGCTTCGCTTTTGGAAGGGTCCCAAGACTTAGAACTGAATGGAACATGCCTTTAAAAAGCGGGGAGTATGTTGCTCAACGACTCCACTGAGACTTTGCCCGGGCTTCTGTCCAGGCCGTGGCTTATGTCCCAGCCTTGCTTCCACATTCGAACTTGTGCTAAATCCAAATGCAGCCAACCACACAACACACGCACTTCAAGTGCTAAACACCTTTCAGCCGTGATACGCTCGGCTAAGGTGACTGCCTCGATGTTCGTCTGCCCAACACCAAGCTGGACAAGAGCCCAATGCAAAGAGACCGCGTAGAGATCAGGTACCGTATGCCCCTGGCAGATTAAATCGTGTCTGGTGGAGGGTTCATGGACTCGTCCTTTGCAAAAGGCCAAAAAAAGGCAACACAAAATAGCCCCGGATCCCAACATGGGTCCCGTTTGTTTTAAGTCATCCAAGTGTGCCATGGTCAATCAAACTTTGAACGCACAAGTGATCAGCAGATTCAGCTGCAGCGTACACCCCACTGTAGCTGCAATATCACCACTGTGGTTGGACAACCATCACCTCTATGGCTGGACAACCCGTTAACAATCCCCTCATATCAGGATGACTCTTTTTTTTCCGCAACATTGGCTGGTCGCTCCTGCATGCCATATTCTGTGACCCAATTCCGTGGAGCTTCCCCATCGCTCTCAACGCTGGCCAGTCCATACCTGGGCACTCTTTTCGAGCCCCGAATGGAAGTTCATGGTTTTGACAGCCCACAGTCACTATGTTTGTGTTCTTCTAGTCAATAGGTTGATCGCAGTCAAAAAAGAAAAGGGTGTGCAAAACAAAGGAAGCCCACCGTTTTGGGAGGCTTCAAAGAAGACTTCAAAGTGCGTGAACTCCAGCCGTGCAACCACAGGCAGGCGATGACGTGGTTGGTGAGGACGAGCCGGATGATGAGCTTTGCCAGGTTATACCTGAAGTTGAAGGCACACTTGTTGTTTCGCCAAGCCACTATTTGCGTGAAGTGTCCATGTCCGTCCAAGTGTGTCGGCACATTTGACATATGTGGCATTCGCCTCACCAAAAAGATGTTGTTTGCTCAGGTCCATATTGTGCGAGCCTGAACAGTTTACACTACTTATTTAGAATGAGATCCCAAACGTGGCGCTGGTGGCAAAAGTCAGACTCCCAAAATGGTAGCTTTCGGCTGATTTCCTTTCGAACCAACCTGAAGAGCGTACTAAGCCTCAAAACAAACGGTCCTATGAAGGGTTGGCAATAAGGGGTGCAACAAACACAAACATGCCATGTTCTCTTCATTAATCAATATTGTCTGGCCCAATATAAGGGCCTTAATAACTAGAATGGGGTCAGGGGATGCTTGAACACCACATTTAGCAATGATTGTAGTGGCAAACTATGTGTGGTTCTTGTTCCCGACGAATTCTTCCAGGGTTGAGGCGCCGAATCATCGTGCCCGGGGAGGTGATGTGCTCCTCCAGCTGCTCGATGATGGAGCCACTCCTCACCGTTCCCACGCGCACCAGGCGCAGGAAGCGAAGGCCTTGAAGCGACTTGCGGCTTGGGCGTTCTCAGCTTCCGAGTCTTGGCGCTTTGGAGCCCGGTGCTTTGGTGGTCAAGGGAGGATTTCTCGCAAACTCATATCAAATCCAAACTCATCCAAAACACCAACTAAAGGTTTGCGTTTGGTTTGATTCGCATACGGGATGATACTGCGGGACCCCGATACAGGTAGCTGGCCGCAAGGGACAAGAATTTGGAAATCAATGATGTCCGGGAGGGGGGGCGGGGGGGCATCGTAGAAAATGTAGGGTGATTGAACTTTGAAGTACAAAACCGACCCGCCCTGCATTTTGCATCCAACTTGGAAAGCCCTTTGACAGGGTAGTCCTTTTCACACTGTCTTTGTGGGATAATATGCGGCCTCCCTCAGACACCTCAGAGGGTAGGCTTTCCTGAACCATGCCAAACTTGTCCTAAAAAATGGGGCACAAGGACAACCCCAGCCTCTGACCACCCGGGACAATCTCAGCACTCCCATGTTGTTATCGCTCCCATCGG